TAATAAAGTAAAATCTTAATAAATAGGAAGTTCCGTATTTCGAACTCTATCTACGTGAAAAAGTTCGCGGAAAATGCTTGAACGTAGTTCGATTTGAAATATATTTCTGGAATATGTTGAAATTCCAAAAACGGTGATCCCACAGAAACCATAACCGAGAACAATGGGAGGTAAAAGGATAAGCAAGGGAGTGAAAAGCTATTGACAGGGGCTTTTCACCCAACATTATTAATCAAGCAGTTAAAAAATTCTCATCTCAACACACTAAAAGCCACACTCTTATTTTAGGAGATTATAAAAATTCTGTTGTCATTCCCTTCTTTCCATCAATTAGCTATAAAGTTGCACATATTTTGCAGAAATTTAACTTTCGGGTTGTTTACTCTCCCATCAATAAAATTCCAACTTCCTATACTCAAGGACCCCCATTCCGGATATGAATTCCTGGGGTATTTATAGGATTCCTTGCCAGTGCGTGGTTTAATTTACATTGGCCAAACTAAGAGAGCCTTAAAATTTCGCGTCAAGGAACATGAGGCATATGTTAGAAAAAAGGAAACACAGAAGTCTTCTGTTGCTCAACATTGTTGGTCCGAAAATCACACTTTCAATTTTTCTGCTGCCAAAATTATTCAAAAAACATCTTCCATTGGAGAACTGGATTTTCTAGAGGCATTTCACATTAAAAAAAATCTTTCTGTTCTAGTTAACGATCCTAATTCCAATCCAAATTTGCCTTCGGCCTTTAAAGAAATTATGTTTTAGTTCTGGTTTCATCAACAGATGGCGCCACTTGCTTATTCTTGTCCAGGCTTTCTTATCTAAACATTATTTCCTATCTTGTTCATTTGCGGTTTTGCAGCTGCTGAAGATGATGGTTCGGTAAAACCATCGAAACTAGTCCTGTGAAAATTTTGTGAATTAACGCTGATTTTTGTTGTTTGACTTCTGAATTAGTATTTATTCGGCGTGTTATTGTGTCTTAATTAGTCGAAAGTTGTTTGAATTCCGTTTGCACTATAAACAGAAAATACCTTGTCTCAGGCAATGCCATTTTATTTGTACTTCTGTAAAGAGTATTCTAATTTAATAACCAGTTGTTAAGTGGATAAGACCGCTGAGCATCGGTAGTTCCACCCATGTTCGAGCTCCGACATACAGGCTGCTTGCAAGAATCCACTCGAAGTTTCTCCAAGTGAGCGCGAGCCAGCTTCCTTCAGAAAATCTTACTGAGATTATCCCTTCTTTTAAACGAGATAGCCCTCACGCACTTCGCTATATTCGATTAAATAAACAAACAGTTTTGAATTGGAAGTATGTGGATTCTATGATCAATATTTTAAAAAAAAAATTAAAGCTAGCTTTTTCAAACATCTTGTATATCAAATTTTTACAGATCTGCTTATGTTGTTAGCTATGACAGCTTGAAAGAAAACTATGTTATTGCTTTCTAGAATGATTTCCGTTTCGAAATGCCCTAAAATATATTAACAAAGCTAGACGAAAGTACTTTTGAGCCCCAGGCAGAAAACCTTCGTCACTCTGTAATAGTTGTTTAAAAATGTATACTTATTCCTTTAATTTATTTCGAACGATAATGAGAAAATTGAGGAAAATAATGTAATAATCATGCAGATTTAAATGTAATACTTTAGGCAAATTAATTTTTTAACGCATTTCAAATCCTAGTGGGATGTCAGACTCCTTTACAAACGACTTCCAATAAAACACGCATTTTAGTACTGTGCTAACTAGAAATATAATAAAAACCACTAGTTTTAGTCGCGTTTTTATAAACATGTAGACGATTTTATTTTATGGGAAAAGATTATGCGAAATTATTATCAGGATATATCTACATTCTCATTTACCTTATTGTTTCTTTTAGTATTATTTCAGGATTATTTTAATGTTTATTGTTGTTTTCAAAATTCTTCCTATACGTAGTCTTAATTTTAAAATTACAGTTAATTTGATTCCTATCTTCAGGTTTATACTTCCATAAATGCCTTCCATAAACATTCTGTGTCGTCTTGAAGAAATAAATATATTGAAAATTAGTCCATTCTTACTTCTCAACACTTTTATTTTATAGCATTAATTTCTTACATATTAAAATGTCTCAAAAATGTACGAATCTTTCGAAAAGGAAGTTGTTTATAATCGCAGACTTGGAGTAATGTAAGAATTTCTATAATATGACAGAGAATTAACATAAAATACACAAGAATTAATTTCTTTCACTTCTGCTTTTCAGGAAGTTTTGTGATGCTAATGCGAACAAGGCACGTTTACAATAAAGTTAAAAGAAATGTTATTTTAGTTAACCAGATTTGTTCATTTACTTAGCTTTTCCATCTTCTCTCATTTCCCATTTCCTTCCAGAATATTATTTCAGATTTCGCGTGATATGTAAAGTAGGGTAGAAAGGTGTTTAAGCTGGAGTCTGAGTTAATTCAGACACAGCGTGTTCTGCCGTTCGACCACGTTGTTTCTCTGATTTAAGCTTGCTATTTTACGGCCGTGCATTTTAATTGTCGGTTTGTATACGTCGGTAATAGGGGTAAGAGCCAACTGGCATTAATTATCTCTGTGCAGCTTCGATGATTACTTAACTTAGTTTTAATTTTATCTTTCTATTTTGAGTTGCAGACAAAGCAATTAGTATTGGCTAAGTTTATAAGCACTAAAAGTGCAGTCTGTAAATTGCTTCTTGAGTTGAATAAAAGGGTCTTTACAGCCTTCTCACGTCTTGTTATTGATACAGTTTGAACTTGGCGAATGGTAGCTTCAAAGTTCAAGTAAAGATCTAACCAGCAAAGTAACTTTAATTTAGCTAGACCTTACCAAAGTAATTGTAACAAAATAGACTTTCGGTGCCATTAAAATATCTAGAAAAGCAAAGGTTTCTCATTCAATTTGTAAAGTGCCACATGAGTAAAAGAATTTTTCTAGGCATCTTTTTTATAACAGAAAATCCTACAAGGCACTCTTATCTGAGCTCACGCAATTTTTAATATTAAGCTCAACTGTATTCAACTCATTCAAGGTAACATTTGGGTAGCATTAAATCTGGGTTAGGCTTTGTGACAGAGTGAAATCAAATTTCTTTGTCTAAATATTCTTTTATATTAATTCTTGCTTAAAATAATCGGTAAAACTCTCACATCAGTAAACAAAGCACTTTAAGTAGAGAATTAAAACAGAAGCCTATCAGAAATAAACTTATATCTGTTTCAAATGAAAATTTCGAACAAGAAAATTAAATGTAAAAACTTCTGCACCTTGCAATTACTAATAAAATTACCGCAGAATTTAAGTTATTGGAAAAACCTAAAATAAACATTTCAGAATATAATTAAGTAATAAAGCAGAGAGAAACTGCCTGTAAGATTCTGTACTCTGTACTTTAAAATTACAGTTGAGTGTGAAGAATCTTAAGAACTGATAAGCGAATAATCGCTTGAGTTCATGGTACAGGAAACAACAAGTAAGAAAGGTGAAATAACCCTTTATTATTCCAATAAGTTGTAAAAGAACTCCGTCTTGGAGTTGTGCAATAAAGCCGACACTCGAGCTTGAACTTAAGAGACTAAGAGCTAAACTAAACTAATCTTAACTAAAAAGATATAGCTGAAGCTAGAGCAATGGGACTCGAACCACGGACCTCTCGAATACTCGCTGAGCGTGCTGACCACTACACCACGAAAGCATCCTAAGAAGTTGGGAGAAAAGCCTTATATACCAACCCTTTTAAAGGGCGACTAGGGATTACCGGACCCAATCGACAAATCCTGGTGGTGGAGAATCATCATCTACACCGTTTTTTTAATTCAGACGCCACTATTGAGTCATTAGGTTATTTCGGAGCAGGAGATGTGAAAAATGAGCAATGCCCTCGCCGGGGCTCGAACCCCGGACCTCTCGAATACGCGCCGAGCGTGCTGATCACTACACCACGAAAGCATGCTAAGAAGGCGGGAGAAATACCTTATAAGTTAACTGCCTGATATCATTTTTCGGCTTGCCTAGGTAAATTGTATTTAAATCTAGTAATTCTAATTTGTCTAAAGTCTTACTGCATATAAAAGCAAAAGCTTTTTTTATTGAAATTTTAGAGTCATTCAAATTCAAGTTATTAGTTACCATTTTAAATAAATATTGATATTTCTAATACATGACTTTACAACAACACAACAATGTGGAATTTGTACGAGAAATGTGGAATCTGTACACAGCAATGTGTGCAATTTATCATAAAGAGTATCATACCAGATTTTAACTCTAAAGTAGATGGTTTTATGAAATAATTATACATCTGTGATTCTTTTTCATTTACTTTCTCTAACAAATATAAATCTTAAATAGCACGTAAAATATCCAATTATAGTTTAATTTCCCTTCATTTTAAATGTGGCTGTACTTAATAGGTAAAAACTCGCTGTTTCAGAAGCATAACGTTATTAGGTATTTCTCCCGCCTTCTTGGCATTCCTTCGTAGTGTTTTGGTCTGCACCCTGGGCGCGTATTCCAGAGGTCCGCGGTTCTATTCTCGGCGAAGGCGGTTGCTCATTTTTCACCTTTCCTGTTTCCAAAGTACCTAATGTCTCTACAACGTCTTCAGTCATAATCTTATCCTCATTTAATGACGATATGAGCAATGGGAAATTATAAAACTTTAAATTAAGTTGAAAATGTGAGGATATTTTAAACGTTTAATGATACTTTATCTTAATGATAATTACATTAATTGAAGATATCCCTCTGTAGATTTCAAAAAACAATTTTGGATCATGACACATGATATCCCTCTCAGCCGTGTAACTGATGGTTTGGGGGATCAAAACTTAATAATCATGCCTTTATAAGAATAACTCAGGGAATAACTGAAAGCATATTGTAACAAATAAACACTTTATTTACGAGAGAAAAAAGACTCCTATGTTGTTTAAGAGAACAGAAATGTTAACCAAGAAATTGAAAGGAGGCAAGAGACTTACCTTTACGATAGTTATGGGCAAATAGCAAAGCAGAAAGGAGCAAAATATTATAAGCACCATCCTCGTTACTCGCCATTCCTCCTTTCGTCTTTTGGCTTCTCTATCCTTTCGCTGGGCACTAGTCTCGGACGTCGAATGCTTCTGAACTCGAGTTCTACTTTTTCGAACTACCCAAAATATCCGAGCATAACAGATTGCAATGGCCAAACACGGAACAACGAATCCAAAGACAAAAAGAAATGTTTTGGAAGATTGTCCATTAGTTTCCAAGATGGAACAGTTCAAAATAGCCGGATCATAGCCAAATTTTCCCCATTTTCCCAGTAATGTGGGAAGAATCATAGCAGTTGCAAAGCACCAGATGAAGATAACCATCGCAGCAATATACCGTTTCCGATAAACCTATAAGGAAAAAAAAATTATTTGCATGAATGCAATTTTTTGGGGGAAAATCTTTTTTTTATGTTTTTTATTTGTAGTGCTGCAAATCAAAAAGCTGATGAAGGGTTTAAAATTTTTAAGCAAAATTTTAGCACGTAGAAAGGAATCATTACTGAAAAGCGACAAATGATGCGTATTTGCTGCAAAAGCAGTTAACTAGAAAAATGGATAACTGCAGTAATTATAATGAGCCTTTTACATGCGCCTTCCATTACACAGGATTACGTCCCTGAAAGAATTAATATATTCGGAAGCAGCCTAAAATATGAGGCGGCCTAAAATATGATTTTATAGCTTAGGTCAGTCGAAAGTCAAATGATATGTTTCCTTTCACTGAAGCATTCATAAATTATGCAATGGGATTTCAAAGTTTTAAAATGTAATTAAGGGAATTTGAAAACTAAATATATAGGATGCAATCAATAAAAACAAGCTAAAGGCTACTGTAAAAAACATATGGAAAAGGCAATAACGCCGATTAACAGGGTAGCAGCCACAGTCGTAAAGATAATAATTAACATGCATATATAGCATTAGAGCGCATCTCATCAAGCTATTAAAAAAGAGTGTAAACTACCACATGCCCTAGCTAAGCATTTATTGCATACGGTAACTGAAAAATATATTTAAAAACGGAAGAACAGTAATCGGTATTTTACAACGGAAACTGCCATGTTGTTCTTAATGCTCAACTAATATCTTTGTGTTCCTTTTCACTACTCTTTTTCTTTTTCTCCGGAGTTGAAAATAAATTAATTTTTATATAAAAAATAATATATGTAAATTATATGCTTCATTATTATAGTTAAATTTATGAACACTTTTTTTTAAATATAAGTAACTTAGATGGGCGAACCAAATTATTAAGAATTACCTTTGAGTAGAGTGAGGGATGCACTATGAGGATGTATCGATTAATGGCGATGGCAGTGATGGATAGCAGAGACAGGCCAACGTTAACGTACCTCAGGAAGGGGAAGAGGACGCAAAGAGTGTCACCATGTACCCATTTCTGATTAATAAATCTGGAGGCTGAAAAGGGAAGATTGATGCAGCAAAAGATGAAGTCTGCCACGCTCAGGCTGATGATGAATGCAGCCGTGGCACTTCGAACACGTGGACATCGGACGAGAGCAATGATGGTTAGGGCATTTCCGGTTAGACCTATAATGATGATAACGATGACGCAAAATGCGGAAAAGTAAAGAAGACCACGCCGCTCCAAGATGCTGGGTATCGTGGATACTGGGTCAATCTGGAACAAAGCCATCTCCAAAAAGAGCTGGAGCCTGTAAAAGAAAAATGTGCTGATCAGATACCACCGGTTGATAACAGTAGCTTAAATTACTATGTGTGATAAAAATTACTATTTGTTTAATGTCTTTCCAAAATAATCTAATTGCGTGACTTAACTTTTACCCTCATCGCTCATCTGAAAGGTACGATTTTTGATGACGACTGAACGGTTAGGTAAACCGTCATTTTTTTACCATTGAACGGGAAAGTGAGAATTTGTTAAACTAATAATTAAAGAAGATTTCAGTTAAATTTTTGACAAAATAGACATCTGAATAAAATGTACTTTTTTATATGAGTTGCAGTATTTTTTTCTCCTGAACAACTAGCTAATTTATACTCTAAGAACTTTTCAGAATCCTTAAAATATGATCTTTACCATGCATAATACTTATATTAAATAATAACAAAAATTCAAATCCTTTTCTAAAACACCAATCAAATGGAAACAATGTAAGGAATACTAAAAGTCGGAGAGAAAAATATTTCAAAAAAGCTAAGTATTACGTAGAATATTAAAAGATTATAGCTATTAGTTTATTTCCTTGAACGTAGACATGAAAGTGAGAGTCTAGTGAGCATTATGTTTCAAATTAATCGAAATTAATTTTCGATTTTTGATTATTTATTGGCTTAATTAGTTTCATAGACTGCATCAAATAACGAGAAAACCTTTTCCTAATCATATGAGATGGCGAAATATTTAAAAATTAAAAACGCTTGAGTCCCTGTTAAAAGAGTTTGAAACAATATAAACATATATCCTGAATCGCATTTCTTATACACTATATATCTGGTTGGATAGCAACCAATTTCTATCATTTCGGTCTAAAACAAGGGGGGGGGACTTGCTTACTTTATTTTCGCTGCCGTTGTAGTATGCAAGCTGAAATTACAAACGATATTAAATCCGAACTCAAAAGCACCTACTTACAAAGACTCTGTGTCTAATCTTCGGAAAATCCGTGGTTTGTAAGCAAAAGTTCTATGTGGTTAACAAAATACAAAGGAATCTACTATCATTTCCTTTGGATATAAAACCAGCCATTCCATTACATCGAGTATTTGCTGTGGTACAGGATATGGAAGATTAGTTTTAACATTAATAAATCTCAAGCGCTTTTCGAAAGAAGAAAATCTCGAAGTAATACCGGCTCCTGTTTATTTCTTCCAAGAGATAAGTCCTCCATGTCAACAAGTTTGGAGTAATTCTGAATCAAAAGCTATCTTAAGCAATCACATCCGGTATGTCATTATCAAAGTCGAAGGTTAATTAAAGCCGAAGGTTAACGTGGTTGCTGCAATTATTGGATAACTATTGTGCTTTGAATCGGAATCAAAAAAGGCGAATTTAATGGCTACTAAAAGGCCAATATACTTTTTTACGCCTAGCGTGAGTTGCAAGTAGTTCTGATGTACAGAAAATTAAGGTTCAGATAATAATTATTAGCTTATTAATGATATTCACTACTAGAAAATTTAAAAATTGCTATAGCAGAGTGCTTTGTTCGAATCCCGGAGAAGGCGTGGATGTTTGTAAATGTATAGTGTCCTTGCGGCATGGGAGCACTCTAAATATACGAGCCGTAAGTACTCTCGAGAGGTTGGTGGTAGGAGAAGAGGGATGGGAGACTCTCGGATCCGTCCCCTGGAGATGCTCTCCATCAAAATTGCGGGTTCCATCAAAGTTGAGCTAAATCGCTTTGTCACCTGTAAGATGCTCAAGGCCAACGACAGGCGTAGCTTGTGCTCCTTGCCACAGGGCATTTCGTGGGCTTGGGCTCACAATAGGTCAGACAAGTGAGTATTACTCAACAACAAACAACAAGACCCTCTTTGGCAGCTCAAATTTGCTCCCATGCCTATTTTCCTAATATTTTGAGCTACGAAATTATTGACGATGTTTATAATATATAGTCTCATTGTTTCAACTCTTTGAAAGATAACTTCACTACTTAGGACACTTACATTTGTTCTTTTTACTTTTTTAGAACTGTTTCTAAAATTTCTCCAAAAACTTCTTATCAGGGTCTGTATATAATATTAACTTCTCATATTTACATATCTTGTTTGTATTTTACATCTCTGTTCTGCGTTTCCATTCAATTCTGCCACTTGTTAAAACTCGACCATACGCCATTTTTATTTATTAATTTATTTATTTATTATTTTTGTTTTCTCACCAAGCGCGACATCAATGTTCTTCCCACGTGTTATTGCTATTTTGCTCACACTGCAGGCACGAGATGATGATCTCTCTTTATCCCTGCCGCTTCAGTAATCCCCTTAGTGGGAATTATACTAGCCATGTTATTCTTATTAAAATAATCACACACTTTCAAACTTACGTAGCTAAACAAAGACTGATCTAGGGCTATCAATACAAGTTTAATAACGTACCGACATATCAATGAGTTCTTGTTTCCAGCAACATCACCATCTTCTTTACACTAGGCTAGAAGTTATTTGGAAATCAGCCTATATGCGGTCATTTCGTAAATTTACAACCCCTTTTTTTCACGGGGGAAGCTGAAAAGGAGGGATAATCTTGCTCGGGATCTTGAGAAAATGTGGAAGCTCGTTTAAGCATCCAACTTCTCTACATTCAGTTTTATGCAGAGGAAAATACAAATTGAATTCTTCGAATGAATGCAATTTTGTACAATGAAAATGTATTATTGAACGATAAACTGTAAGGTAAATAACATCTTTTTTTTTAAAACCATAGGAGTAGAACGACAGATATTTGTTACATCAATGAATTTGTAGTAAATATTGAGTTGTTCATTTCGAATGCTATGTTACATATACGCGAAGTAGCTAACTTAATCAAAATCTGAAAGCACCTGCAGGAAAATGTGGAATATAAAATATATTCAAATTCTATGAGGATAATGAGCCTAAATATAATAACCCTAAATGTTTGCTTGTGGTTATCATACAACTATTCTGAAGTTATTAAACTCTTTCATAATCTTCGGTTTTAAATCCTGTAGAACATGCATGGCGTGGGTTGGAGGGGGAAAATACGTATATATGACATTTATTCGAAAGCTCTATTAAAAGTAATTCTTATGGATGAATAGAGCAAAATGGAATATTCTTACTCGAAAACATTAGTCAAATCCATGAAAAGTGTAATTTTAGGTATATAAGCGCATGAAAAGTGTTAGTTTAGGTAAAGGATATCTAAAGAAGACTTGGATGTCCCGTTATTTTCATATTTTTTTAAAGTATCAACTATTTCTTTAAAGTATCCGAATACTTATGTGAGTTCATTTTCAGAGCATTTTAAATAAGCTATTTTTTTACCAAAAATGTTTCGAATAACGTTTTCGAAAACAAGTGGGTCCTAAAAAGGATGATAAAAAATTTGCCTGAAAGAAAAACGAAGTCATTTTCTTAATATTTAGGAATTGAAATCTGCAAAAATAAAACTGAAAAACTCAGGTGCCCGAAAACAAATGGGAGCTACTATATTATTATTTTACCTGTATTATCACTTTTTCCTTCGTCGTCTCCCGCCAGGATGTAGTCAAAGAGTTCTTGGAGCTATGGAGAGAGTTTTTGGCAGCGACACTGACCTTCGTGGTATTTTTTACCGAGCTCTCAGAATTACTTAGATCGACTTCAGCCTTCTGTTGGCCCGCGCATTTAGAATACTGAGGAAAATTTTGATAGGGCTTATCTTTGTTAATTCAAATGTTAAATCACTTTCAACTCTACATCAGCATTTTATGTCAGATTAGATCCCGCAAGCAGCGGTGATTGTTTTACAAAGCGCGAGCTGTGCATAAACCTTCTATTGAGTTACTGGGTGCTTTGATAAAATGAGGCGATAAATCGCATAACGGTCTCTTTCGGAACAAATTTGGCGTAGTAAGGCTTAGGTTTTTCACACATCTTGGAAAAAAAGTATGATTCTTTTATTTTTGCGCAGATAGTAGTGAGCCTATAATTTATTTACTAAATAATATTGATTAATTTATTATATTATCTCCTAAGTATAATTATAGTAGGATTATCTTAAAAGAGTGAATCCATACTAGTAAGTTATATTTTGAAAGATGTTTTGAAGTAACTTGAAAGTTAATTGTTAAAAATGTTTTAACGGAGACTGGAATTAAATCATGAATAACAAAATTTCAATTGTAAAAGGAATAAATTAAAGGCAAGAATTAAATTAAATGCATGTAATCATTGTCATTGATCGGAAATTAATTGACTTTTCAAGGGGAACAAACCAACTCTCGTTCAATGAACAATAATTAATAAATAAATACGAAGGTGTTTCGTCTTTACTCGGGCAATAAGGTTAAGCCAAGATACGGATATCTTATTTAAATTTCCTAAAATGCAAGGAAAGAGCAGTAAACAAGTAATACAAAGATAATGTATTTTTCGATTTAAAAGTTTCAGGAGGAACATAAGCAAGTAAAGAACAAAAAATAAAATTTTTAGTGCATAGTAGAAATAAATACAGATTATGCCTCTAATTTTCTAGTTTGGTTTAGTTTATGTTATTACGGCAAAGCCTCAAGGGCTGTCTTGCCTAAGGAAAGGGATGCCTTCGTGGAGGACTTTCTAAGGGGAACTGGTTCGTATACATGTTACACATGGAGAAAAGCAGGGAAACGCACAAGCAGCCAGCCCGTTCGCGGGATTCGAACCTCGGACCGAAATACCAGTGTTCAACGACTTTACCTCTCGGCCACTGGTGAGCCGCCTCTAGTTTTTAATGGAGTGGTTGTGCTTTGCATTGTTTAGTGAACTGAAATTTTAAATTTTATTAATATTAAAACACGAAAGAAGTTTTTTTAACGCAGCAGGAAGTTTAACGCTAATCTGTTAATTTACAGGCCATAAATTTAACAGTTTTTTTTATAAGCTGAGCAAAGTGTATATGTTAGAATATTTATATAAAAGAGAAATTTTAATCAGTACTTTGTCAGAAGGATAATGTTGTAGAAACGTTATATACTGAACACTGAAT